TCAAGGGGATGAGAAGGTGATGAAACATCTACTCTAGGAGGCGAGCTATTAAATATTTACAGACCAACTTTAATTTTAACAGATGCAGACTCTTGAGTAAATTATACAGTACAACATTTGCCATAAATATGCAAAAATGTTAGTAATTTGAACCCTGAATGCGTGCACAATTTTTTCCATGCCACTTCTATAAACAATAAGAAGATACAACCGAAAGAAGTTAAAATAGTTCAAATCCAGATTGGCACTTAAATAAATAAGAAGTAACCAAACACAAGTTACCTCAGAATGCCTACTTCGCTTGAGGATGCTTGCATTTATCAGTGTGAACCATCAGATAGATCTGCAAAAGAGTTAACAAGATTAATGTTTACGAATTGTTGGCAGAATTTTTACTAAAAAGTAAAGAAAGATAAATCATTAGCAATAAGCTCACCTTTCGATATTGTTTCTTCACATCAACATGCACAAAAATCAAAGGGCAGGTTAAGATGCTCAAAAGGATTCAATTTAAACAATAATTTTTTTTAATAATTGATACATGCATATGAAAAAAGTATATGATAGTGATAGGATATGTTACTTCACATTTCTTAAACAGCAAGCCCTCCAATACAATACTTTGATCCTTAGTTTTATGCATGTTTACGTCATACATTTCTTTCATATACATGAATATACTCTCATTTATTATTTTTTTCATATACATGTATCAGTTATTTAACCAGGTTGTTGTATTGTGGTATAAATTGATACATGCATGTATAGAAATAAGATGACACTTTGTATTAGACAGTTGGTTAACAGCTTTTAAAAATTTATACTATATATATATATATATATACACACACACACACGATCATTTTATACAAACAGTCAATTAAATATACATTCTATTTACAAATCTGTATCATACTCGATATGAAACTGATAGCATGTGTAACTTCACAATATGTAAACACATCAGGACAATACAATTCTCTACACATGTATGTATTGTATGTTCGTACCGGTGCTTTTTAATAAATTTAAGACTCTTACTTATATTCAAAAATGTAAAATTTGCCAACAACAATGATATATAGGAACAATCTGTTTAGTTGTTTACATGTGAGTATAAATTGTCATAATACATGTTATAATCTGGTCAGATACTATAACTTACTTTCTCCACTATGCATATATCTACCAAATAAATATTCTATTACAAAAATTAATTTCAAACATGAATTTTATGCAATCTCTAACATAGTTTATCAATGAAACATATGCAGCTGTATATACGATAGAATTTCAGAAACATGGACTACCACATGCGCATATCTTTCTATGGCTTCATGAGAGTAACAAATATCTGACACCCGCATTGATTAATAAGATCATTAGTGCTGAGATCCCAGATGAGAAAGAAGATCCAGTTGGGTATGCAGCAGTTGGTTAATACATGATGTATGGACCATGTCGAAGTACGGCTCCATATTCATCATGTATGAAAAATAAAATATGTTCAAAGCGGTTTCCAAAAAAATTCATTTCTGAGATGATTATTGATGATGGGGGTTTTCCTATTTACCGAAGAAGGGAGGATAATAGTAAATGGATAGAGAAAAATGGAACAAGATTAGACAGGTTTTCCTATTTACCGAAGAAGGGAGGATAATAGTAAATGGATAGAGAAAAATGGAACAAGATTAGACAATGGTTATGTCGTAGAGGATAATAGTAAATGGATAGAGAAAAATGGAACAAGATTAGACAATGGTTATGTCGTACCGTACAACCAAAACTTGATCGTGAAATATCAATCTCACATTAACGTAGAGTGGTGTAACAGAGGAAGATCAATCAAATATTTGTTTAAGTCTGTCACAAAAGGACCAGATCATGTTTCTGTTTCTATTCACAAGGAAAATAATGGTAGATCCTCAAAACTTAAAGAATTGAACAGAGATGAGATATAACACTATCTTGATTGTAGATATGTCTCAGCATCGGAAGCTATATGGAGGATATCTGAATTTGATATTCATTACAGAACTCCAGTAGTAGAGAGGCTACTATTTCATTTGCCGGATCAGAAATCAATTATTTTTAAAGATATTGATAATTTAAATGACATTTTGAATGATATTGAATCAAAGAAGACCAAGTTCAATGCGTGGATGGAAGCAAACAAACTCTATCCAGAAGCAAAAACTCTCACTTATGCTAAATTACCAACTAAATTTGTATGGAAGACGGATGAGAAAAGATGGAAACCAAGAGAGAAGGGGCAAAGTGTTGACCGGTTGGTTTATGCTCATCCTTCTTCGGGTGAAAGATTTTATCTGCGTTTATTACTAAATGTAGTGAGAGGTCCTACAAGCTATGTTGATATAAAAACCAAAGATGGAATTCAGTATGGAACATTTAAAGAGACATGTGCTGCTCTAAGATTGTTGGATGATGATAATGAATGGCAATTAGTCATAGAGGAAGCATCTTATTTTTCCTTAGGGAGACAAATGAGACATTTATTTGCACAAATACTTTTGTATTGTGAAATTATCAATCCTAAAAAGCTATGGGAAGATAATTGGGTGTATTTATCAAAGGGTATTCTTGAAGCTCAAATTAATCTACTACAGTTCCCAAATTTAAAAATGATAAAAAATCAATTACAAAGCCATGCATTGGCAGAAATACAATATCTCCTACTATAAAATGGTCACTATCTTCAGAAATTTCAAGGTATGCCACTTCCTGATCAAGTTTTAATTCAACAATGTAAGGAGAAGATTATAAGTGAAGAATTTAACTATGATAGAAAAGAATTGAGCAGTTTTAATTCAACAATGTAAGGAGAAGATTATAAGTGAAGAATTTAACTATGATAGAAAAGAATTGAGAAGGGAGCATGAACAGTTGTTTGGAGAAGATTATAAGTGAAGAATTTAACTATGATAGAAAAGAATTGAGAAGGGAGCATGAACAGTTGTTTGAGGGTCTTAATGAGAAGCAAAAAAAATTTATGATGTTGTGATTCACTCTGTATATAGTAAAACATGAGGCTTATACTTTCTCTATGGACATGGTGGGATAGTAAAAACTTATGTTTGGAAGTTAATTATCACTAGACTTAGATCTGAGGGGAAAATAGTACTCACAGTGGTATCATCGGGTATTGCTGCTCTTCTTTTACCTAGAGGGAGAACAGCACATTGAAGATTCCAGATTCCAATTAAATTGAAAGAAACATCTACATGTTGTATTAAATAAGGAACACCTGAAGCAAATTTGCTAAAACAAACAGCTTTAATACTTTGGGATGAGGCACTAATGATGCATAGACATGCATTTGAAGCAGTGGATAGAACTTTGAAAGATATATTGGGCAAAGACAATCCTATGTTGTCATAGAAACCATTTGGAGGTTTGACTGTGGTGCTTGGGGGTGATTTTAGATAAATTTTACTAGTTATTCCAAGATAAAGTAAACATGATATTATTCATACTTCCATTAGCAGATCCAAACTTTGGAGTGAATGCAGAATTTACAAATTGACAGAGAATATGAGAATTCAACAAAGTTCATCAAATGAGAACGAAATGAGCATACCGGAATTTAGTAGATGGGTTCTAAATATTAGAAATGGAAGTGCTGAAGAAGAGTGTTGTGAATTGCAAAATATAGATGGAACTATTGATATTCCACGCGAATTTATCCTTCATCCAACTAAAAATCCAGTTGAGGATATTATTTCATCTACCTACCCAAACATAGATGAAAACTTTCAAAACCCCACAAATCTAGAAGAAAGAGCAATATTAACACCAAGGAATGAAACTATAGACATTGTGAATAATACAATCTTGGAAAAAATTGAGGGACAAATTTTAGTATATCTTAGTTCTGATTCCCTTTGCCCAACATCTCATAATATGCAAGAAAATGAGATCAACTTTCCAACGGAGTACTTGAATTCACCAAAATTTCCAGGAATACTAAACCACGAGATAAAACTTAAAGTCGGGACATCTGTCATGCTTCTACGTAACTTGAGTCCAACTGAAGGGTTATGCAACGGGACGCGGTTGATCGTCACCCAATTGCTAAAATGGGTGATTGAGGCTAAAATTATAAGTGGAAGCAACATCGGATCAAAACATTTTATCTCAAGAACCGTAACAACAAATACGGATTCAAAGTCGACATTTCGCATGAAAAGAAGACAACTACCTATTAGACCATGTTATGTAATGACTATAAATAAAAGCCAGGGTCAAACACTACAACATGTTGGTCTATATCTACCAAAACCCGTTTTCAGACATGGTCAACTATATGTTGCTATTTCGAGAGTGACATCACCAAAAGGTCTAAAAATTCTCATTGAAAATAGTGAAATGAACACTGAAAGTGTAACAGAGAATGTAGTGTATAGAGAAATATTCAACAACTTGGTAGAAGGTGTATCATATATTCCTTTATTGTTATATGAAATATATTTGCATTAGATTTTTATTTGTTTCCTTAGTTTCATTCATACTGATCCATTGACAGATTAAGTGGGATGTTGAATATAAATACTTAATGAAATGAAATTATATGTGCAGGTGAAGGACAAGAAGGATGAGTATTTCTAAATACACTCTGATAAAGAATCTGAACACGAAAGTAAAAGAACCAATCATTAAATCTCGAGTGACAAGCATATGGGAAAATATAAATGTGATATCACTTCAAAATTATGGACTGCTAATTACTCTTTTGGATGCTGCTCTAAGATTGTTGGATGATGACAATGAATGGCAATTAGTTATAGAGGAAGCATCTTATTTTTCCCCAGGGAAACAAATGAGACATTTATTTGCACAAATACTTTTGTATTGCGGAATTATCAATCCTAGAAAGCTATGAGAAGATAATTGGGTGCATTTATCAGAGGGTATTCTTGAAGCTCAAATTAATCTACTACAGTACCCAAATTTGAAAATGATAAGAAATCAATTAGAAAGCCATGCATTGGCAGAAATACAATATCTCCTACTACAAAATGGTTAATGTCTTCAGAAAATTCAAGGTATGCCACTTCCTGATCCAGTTTTAATTCAACAATGTCAGGAGAAGATTATAAGTGAAGAATTTAACTATGATAGAGAAGAATTGAGAAGGGAGCATGAAAAGTTGTTTCAGGGTCTTAATGAGAAGCAAAGAAAATTTTATGATGTTGTGATTCACTCTGTATATAGTAAAACAGGAGGCTTATACTTTCTATATGGATATGGTGGGATAGGAAAAACTTATGTTTGGAAGTCAATTATTACTAGACTTAGATCTGAGGGGAAAATAGTACTCGCAGTGGCATCATCGGGTATTGCTGCTCTTCTTTTGCCTAGAGGGAGAACAGCACATTCAAGATTCCAGATTCCAATTAAATTGAAAGAAACATCTACATGTGGTATTAAACAAGGAACACCTGAAGCAAATTTGTTAAAACAAACAGCTTTAATACTTTGGGATGAGGCACCAATGATGCATAGACATGCATTTGAAGCAGTGGATAGAACTTTGAAAGATATATTGGGCAAAGATAATCCTACGTCGTCAGAGAAACCATTTGGAGGTTTGACTATGGTGCTTGGGGGTGATTTTAGACAAATTTTACCAGTTATTCCAGGAGGAAGTAAACATGATATTATTCATGCTTCCATTAGCCGATCCAAACTTTGGAGAGAATGCAGAATATACAAATTGACAGAGAATATGAGAATTCAACAAAGTTCATCAAATGAGAACGAAATGAGCACAGCAGAATTTAGTAGATGGGTTCTAAATATTGGAAATGGAAGTGCTGAAGAAGAGTGTTGTGAATTGCAAAATATAGATGGAACTATTGATATTCCACGCGAATTTATCCTTCATCCAACTAAAAATCCAGTTGAGGATATTATTTCATCTACCTACCCAAACATAGATGAAAACTTTCAAAACCCCACAAATCTAGAAGAAAGAGCAATATTAACACCAAGGAATGAAACTATAGACATTGTGAATAATACAATCTTGGAAAAAATTGAGGGACAAATTTTAGTATATCTTAGTTCTGATTCCCTTTGCCCAACATCTCATAATATGCAAGAAAATGAGATCAACTTTCCAACGGAGTACTTGAATTCACCAAAATTTCCAGGAATACTAAACCACGAGATAAAACTTAAAGTCGGGACATCTGTCATGCTTCTACGTAACTTGAGTCCAACTGAAGGGTTATGCAACGGGACGCGGTTGATCGTCACCCAATTGCTAAAATGGGTGATTGAGGCCAAAATTATAAGTGGAAGCAACATTGGATCAAAACATTTTATCTCAAGAACCGTAACAACAAATACGGATTCAAAGTCGACATTTCGCATGAAAAGAAGACAATTACCTATTAGACTATGTTATGCAATGACCATAAATAAAAGCCAGGGTCAAACACTACAACATATTGGTCTGTATCTACCAAAACCCGTTTTCACACATGGTCAACTATATGTTGCTATTTCGAGAGTGACATCACCAAAAGGTCTAAAAATTCTCATTAAAAATAGTGAAATGAACACTGAAAGTATAACAGAGAATGTAGTGTATGGAGAAATATTCAACAACTTGGTAGAAGGTATATCATATATACCTTTATTGTTATCTAAAATATATTTGCATTAAACCTTTATTCATTTCCTTAGTTTCATTCATACTGATTCATTGACAGTTTAAGTGGGATGTTGAATATAAATATTTAATGAAATTATATGTGCAGGTGAAGGACAAGAAGGATGGGTATTTCTAAATACACGACGATAAAGGATTTGAACATGAGAGTAAAAGATCCAATCCTTAAAGCTCGAGTGACAAGCATATGGGAAAATATAAATGTCATATCACTCCAAAATTATGGACTGCTACTTACTCTTTTGGATGAAAGTGTAAGACAGATTTACATTCCATCTGTAAACTTTTTATACAAAAGTATCTCTTATAGTTATAAAATATCAATATCTACGTACTATATCAAGATCTATATATTTTTGAAATGAGATGCTTATTTTTAATTTTGACAGGATACACACATTCACGGTAGCATAAAAACAACTGAGATGTCAATGTTTCAACCAATGATAGAGGAAGGAAGTATACATGTCATCTCTAAGTTCAGAGTTATGAATTCCTTTGGCAATTATAGGGAAACTGAGAATAAATTCATAATATGTTTTTGTAGTATGACACAAGTTCAAGTACTACAAGAAGACAACGACAATATCCCTAGGTACAAGTTCAACTATAAACCATTCAATGAGCTTTATAGAATGAAAGGAAACAAGACTTATTTGGCAGGTAAGCTTTTATTATAATTTTTGTATCATGATATAGTTCAATACAGATTATGCAACAAACCTTATATAACTTATATCTCTTATGTTTGCTTATTTCAATTTCAATATAGATATAATTGGGTATGTGAAAGATATATATCCCTTGGAGCAAACTGTAATTTCTGAAAAAGGACTAGGAGAGCCTTAAAACTAATCGATGAAGAGCGAGAGTTATCTTATTCATCACCTAATCGAACTGTTAATTGTATTTATTTATGTTTGAACCTAAAACTTAGTATCTCTTATACAAATCAGAAACATAGAATGCACGGTTACTTTATGGAACCAAATTGCTACAAATCTAGAGAGCGCACTGATAGAACAAGATCCAAACAACATGGTTATGGTGGTCAGTGGAATATTTGTTACTAATTTTAGAGATAAAATGAACAATTATACATGTCATAAATAATTGCTTTCATCAATACATAAGTAAAGACGATACTTTTCACATAAAATTTCAGGCAATAATTCTGTGTCATCAAGCACGACGGCCAAAATCTACGTGAACATACCTGAACAAATAGTACTGGAATTATCTCAGAGGTAATTTTAGTATCTTTATATATTTTTTGACATACGTAATTAAATTATATGTACTGACATATGATTTCTGAGCATATATACATAGGTACATGGAGTCAGAAACACAGATGCAGCTAATAGATACATCAATTAATTACAAATCAAAGCAGAAATTTCTTAAAACACCATCTGCATCTTTGAGCAATCTTATTTTATTCAATGATCCAGAAACTGCGGAGGTAATAAAGTTTTTAAAAGATGGCCTATCAGTTATGCAAACTAATTATCTGTTCTATAGTTAATATTCATCTTTGTAATTTTAAGGAATATTTCTTTATATGCAATGTGAGAATCAATACTATAATGGACAACCAAAAATGGTGTTATCGCGGATGTCTGTTTGTGGAAAATTTGATGTAAAAGAAATAATGAAAGAAAAATTGATTTGTATTTCTCTCAAAATCGATTACAATTTGGATTCCGATTACAAAAGAGAGGAGAATGAGTTTGATTCTCCCCTTTGTGTAAATCTGGGTTCTTCACGGTGGCGATGGAGTGCCTCCCTCGAATACTCGCGTCGAGTTTGCGCTCCGTTGACGATCTGCACGTCTTGATTTACTGGAACGTGATCTTCTCCTCACGATTTGACGTTGTGGAGAACTTGCGTGGCAAGTTTGAAAATAACTCTTAATGAGTTGATAAGTCAGAGCGAGTTTTAGAAGAACTTGCAGAGCCAGTTTTGAACTCTGATCGAGTTGATAACTCTGAACGAGTTTGAAACTCTATGGAAGAGTTGATTTAACCGAAAGTCGGTTATAAGCCAAGGATGAAGAAGCTCCTATTATCGATCTCCAAAATCCCAGCCGAAGGATGAAGGCTCTTCTTTGCTACCAAGCTTGCTCTTGACTGAATCTCCCTTTGTTGATGAGACAAAATCCCCTCCTTTAACTCAATTGAGTTTCTCATATTTATAGGGGATTAAGGGTGGTAACTGCCTCCTTAATCCGCTACTAAGTGGGGCGGAAATCCCTCAAATCGTGGGAAAAAACAGTTCCTGGAACTATTCAGTTCGTGTTTGAACGAGTCAAACGCCTAAATTGGCGTTCTGGACCTTAACTCTGCGTCTTAGAGATGAGACGAAGAGTTGGGCGCTCGCTAGGAGTTGGAACGCACAGGCTGCTTGCGTTTCGGACCTTAACTCTGCGTCGTGGAGATGAGACACAGAGTTGGGCGCTCACTGGGAGTTGAAACGCACAGGTCGTGCTGTTTTTAGAGATGAACTCTGTGTTTTAGGCTGAAAACACAGAGTTGGGCCTGTTTTAGGCTGAGAACGCACAGGTCGTGCTGTTTTAGAGATGAACTCTACGTTTTAGGCTGAAAACGCAGAGTTGGGCCTGTTTTAGGCTGAAAACGCACAGGTCGTGCTGTTTTAGAGATGAACTCTGCGTTTTAGGCTGAAAACGCAGAGTTGGACCTGTTTTAGGCTGAAAACGCACAGTTGGGCCGTAACTCTAAGTTTTGATGTTATATCACGAGGATAACCTCTGCATTTTGAGGTTATAACGCTGGTTCGACCTGTGCGTTTTGACTCTGTAATGCAGAGGCGAACCTTAGGCAGGCTTGGCGAGCTTCAGGCTAAGTTTAATATTCTGACGAAGTCCGGTCTTGCAGACGGACTTCAGAACATAACTTGCTTTGAAGAACAGGTCATAACTTTCAAACCGTACGTAGGAATTGGACGAATTATATATAAAAATCGGCTATCTCGACGAGATGGAGCCATCCGAACCAAACCAAAAGCTTTGGTTCGCTTCCTCCGTTTTGCCAAATTCCTTACGGTTTGAGAGATATCTGCGTTTTAATATGAAGAGACCGTAAATTTGTAGTCTCTTTTGCTAGAGTGTTGCAAAGATCGTCACCTTGTAACCTTTGCCTTGGCGGCTGTTGCATTAGAGCTTTCATCAGTTGTCGTGAAGGTCGTCAGATTGTAACCTTCAGCGATCTGCGTGAAAGTCCTCAAATTGTAACCTTCTGGAAGTCGTCAGATTGTAACTTCCGTCATTGGTGTTTGATGGGGATCAGCTATCTGTTGTGATTTTTAGACAGCCTACAGAACCCCCTCCAAAGTTTTCGAAAGTTCGTGGTTGACTGGGATGAATTTTTGGAATACTTTGGATCTCAACTCTGATCTTGGAGCTATTGATTCTTTATCGTAAAGGAGTTGTTCTTCGCACTCGCTTCGAAGGCATCTTGGTTGAAAGGATTTGACACACAGGATCCCTTGCATTTTGAATTTTGGAACACGGGCGTGACCTTGGCGTTTTGGTGTTTGCAACGCAGGTCTGACCTTGACGTTTCGACTTGATATGCGGAGGTGGCTTTCATGCATTTTTGACTAAGTCTTTGAGACTTGTCTTTGGCTCATCTGATTCAAGTCTCAGTTTATATCCATTAAGTTGATGGGCCTGCAAACATGCATAGGATTTTTAGCAAACCCTCAGCCGTCAACGGATTTGATAAGCCTTTACCGACTACCGTTTGAGTCGGGCTAGCATGTGGATTGTCTAAGTCCGTTCCACATGTAACGTTGTGCTAAAAGAATGAACTCTCTTAGACTTAACGCTATGATTTTGAATACATAGACTTTGTCATTTTTACGAGAAAAGACTAACCGGCAACGCGTATTAGGCGTAGACTTATCTCTGATTAGGGATCGAGATAAAGTCCCCCATGCGTGTAAAGCATGGATTTTGGCGTTATTAATAACAACCTGCTACGATATTGAATACGTAGGCTTTGCCATTATTACGGAAATAGGCTACCCGGCAGCATGTATTAGATGCAGACTTATCTCTAATTAGGGATCGAGATAATGTGCCCCATACGTGAAAGGTATGGATTTTGGTGCTACGATGTTGAATACGTAGACTTGGTCATTTTCGTGGGAACGAACCACCCGGCAGCATGTGTTAGATGTAGGCTTATCTCTGTTTAGGGGTCGAGATAGATTCCCCCAGGCATGAATCCTGGTGTCTTTTTCACGGCGAAAGATTAACCGGCAACGCGTGTTAGGCGTAGGATTATCTCTAATTAGGGATCGAGATAAAGTCCCCTATGCGTGAAGGCATGGATTTTTGGTGCCGTTTCTTCCTGTGTGGCTTGAAACACCGAAAGAAAGTTAGAAGTGCCAGAGGTATAGTATTAACTTGGCATGAATTTTTACCTAAAGTGAAATTCAAAAATTTTCTTTATTATCACTAGGATAATTCCAGAAAATCTTTAATCCACTGGGGATTTTATAATGAAAACTTGCTATTCTTATTGAAAAAGAATTAACAAGTTCACTGGGGGGTTTGACTGTTAGAGGTGTGATGTTAACCTAATAGTATTTTATGGACCTATCGCTCTATTGAAGAGAGTCGATAAGTTGATTTGGTCGTCAGAGGTGTGGTGTTAACTTGACGGGTTTGTGGACCTATCGCTCTATTGAAGAAAGTCGATAAGTGGATTTTGTCAGAGGTGTGATATTAACGTGACAAGAAAAAATTACGATCGGGGCAATTTTGAGGACTTATCGCTCTATTGATGAGAGTCGATAAGTTAATTTTGTCAGAGGTGTAGTGTTAACGTGACAGGATTTGTGTTGCGATCAGAGCAACTTTGGGGACTTATCATCCTATTGACGAGGATTGATAAGTGGGTTTTGTCAGAGGTGTATTGTTAACGTGACAAGAATTTGTGTTGCGATTAGAGCAACTTTGGGGACTTTTCATCCTATTGACGAGGATTGATAAGCGGGTTTTGTCAGAGGTGTATTGTTAACGTGATAAGAATTTGTGTTGCGATTGGAGCAACTTTGGAGACTTATCATCCTATTGACGAGGATTGATAAGTGGGTTTTGTCAGAGGTGTATTGTTAACGTGACAAGAATTTGTGTTGCGATTAGAGCAACTTTGGGGACTTATCATCCTATTGACGAGGATTGATAAGCGGGTTTTGTCAGAGGTGTATTGTTAACGTGACAAAAATTAGGAGTGATGCAAACTGAATACATACTCTGTGGGGATGATGATCTTCAGAAGTGTAATGTTAACTCGACGATGTGAAAGATTCGTTACTCTTAATCCAGTGGATTCCAAGTAATCAACCCCCAGTCTTGATTAAGACTTACCAGGGGAATAAAAAGAGGTAGACAGGGCACATCACCTAGTGAGGCACTATCCATGAAGTCGGAATAGAGTCACATCACCAGGTAGGCTATTATCTGATGAGTTTGACTATCAGAGGTAACTGTTAACGTGATAGTTTTGTGGTCCTGCCATCCTATTGAAGAGGATTACGACTATCAGAGGTAACTGTTAACGTGATAGTTTTTTATGGACCCGCCATCCTACTTGAAGAGGATTGACAAGAGAATCTGGAGAAAACAGACTATCAGAGGTGATCATTAACGTGATAGTTTTGTAGACATGCCATCCTATTAGAGAAGATTGGCAAGTTGATGGGCTATCATAGGTAACTGTTAACGTGATAGTTTCAGCGGATTTCGTGGTTGACAGAGGTATTTTATTGAACGTGACAACTCAGAAAAATTTATTATTCATAATCCAATGAACTACAAATAAACCAACCCCCAGTCTTGAACAAGTACAAGGGGAAAAGGAGTAGACATAGCACATCGCCTAGTGAGCCATTATCTAACGAGTTTGACTATCAGAGGTAACCGTTAACGTGATAGTTATTGGACCCGCCACCCTACTAAAGAGGATTGACTTCAGTGGCCGTAGTATCTTTCCCTTCTGATTGGGAAGAGTGAGCCTGGTCCGGTTGCTCAGAAGAAGATTGGGCTTGGTCTGATTGCTCGGGCTGATCCTGCCTACTTTGTTCTTCAGCTTTGATCCTGGTAATGATTTTTTGAGCCTGCTCGCCTTGAGAGATTAGTTGTCTCCAAGAACGGCATTCTGTAACTCCTATTCGGGCTAGGAGGTCAGTTTGTAAGTTGTGTCGACAAGTCTCTACCAAGGTAGACTGTGCCATACCTGACGAACACCGGAGAGCCATGGTTCGGAACCTTTTGACGGCGGACTCCCTCTTCTTCTGCTTAGTGGCGAGAAGGGTATGAATGGAGACTTTTGTATCCTCTTCAAAGAATCTTGATAGGAAGAGTCTCTCTAGATCTGTCCACTTTTGGATACATGCGACAGGCAGTTTCCTGAACCATTCAAAGGCAACTCCCTTGAGGGTGCCAATGAACAATTGAACCAGTATGGCGTCGTTTGATATCACATTTCCAGCCTATGACTTGAAATGATGGATATGTTGGTTCGGTAATCCCGTGCCGTCAAAAGTTTGTAACGTCGGGATTTCGAACTTCGGAGGATAAGGGGCTGCATCCCATTCGGCAGGATAGGGCCTGACG